AGCTATCTCTTCAGAAACATCAGCCAGGTAAATCTGAAACTACAGGTTTCCAATAAAACAATGTCTCTTATAAACTAGATTCGGATGTAACACACTTTGCACCCTGAAATGAGAAAACAAGACTCCTGGAAAAGAGAAAATATAATAACTCTCATAAATCCCAAAGCAAGTGGAAAACTATTAAACCCAATATCCATTATCTGGCAGTAGCTGCAATGAGAATTAAACTACCTTGTCCATGAAGAATAAAGTTTATGGATGAAGAGGAAAGGTTTTGCTCATAATGGAACATTGTTTAAAACCTGACCTCACTGTTTACAGCTCTTCCCACTGGGTATAATTTGAATTCATTATGGGGAAAAATATAAAGGAACATTTTTTTACTTGGGAGAAAATTTCATTTTTTCATGGATATTGAAATGATCCTCTCAAATCAATACTGAATTATAGAGTGAACTAATGTAAGATGGAGGGACGGATGTCAAGCCATTTCCTACTGCAGAAAGAGACCCTAACCACCACTTTTGTAAGGGAAACTGTTTCCTTAGAGGCTTGCTGAGGGCATAGTGTTTGTTCGCATCCATCGAAACCTGTGTTGTCTTTGGTTCTATGTTGAGAAATATGAAAATAAAGTAAAGTAGTTCCCTTTGATTCTGCTTCAAACTAGAGAAGATGTTAAAATATCTTGAGGGACAAAGTGGTGAAATAGAAGAGGAAAGAAAGGTAGATTGAGTTATAGAGATGTGTGTGTGTGTGTGCGCGCGCACATCTGTGTTTTATTGCCAGACCTCTTCAATGTACGTGTGGCCTTAGCATTTCTCCCTGGTTTACGAACAGATGCTCTACAGCAGAATATTTCTTTCATCATTATCTTAACCTCTTTTTAAATCTTATCTTCTCTTTTCCGCAGTCTCCCTTTATCATATTTTTTAGGTTTAATTCTTCTCTTCAACTCTTCCCTCCACTTTAGTCTATTTCCCTCCTCCTCCTCTACATTTAAGACCCTAATGATGGCTGGTTCTCGGGGCAGGGGAGTTTATAGGTTAAAGTTAAAAGTTAAAGAAAACATGGTCCTTTTGCATAATTCCTGTTAACATCCTAAAATTTGTCTTATTCATTATATTGGACCAAACACATGTCAAGCAATTTGCTAAATATAGATTCAGTGCCATAAATATATTTATATCCACCTGTCTCTGGTATCTGTGTGCACTTAAAAAGGTACTAATAAGCCATCTGTTCTGTATTGCAAAAATCATTCTTTGGAAGTCCTACTGTGGTACCTTAAAAGCTGTTGAAATAAAGACTTTGCTGAGAAAAGTGTTTATTTTAAAAGTAATTTATAAGCCCTACTTTTCTCTTCAAATAAAGAATCATAAAACACACGTTTAAAAGTCTGTTCCTTTAAAATTATTGCCAGAACTCTTGAGTCCAGAACTATTTCCAAGACTCTACAGCTTAAAGTCCTCTTTTAAGCTTTGGACTCATATAGCCAACAGCCTCTGGCACAGATTAGTGTGTGTTTGGGTTGACTTCCCTGCAAACAGACCCAGATGGTGTCTTAGTCTGCTCGAGCTGCCATAACAAAATCCCACAGACCGAGTGACTTAAACAACAGAAATTTACTGTCTCACGGTCTGGAGGCTAAAGGTCCGTGATCAAAGTCCCAACCAATCAGTCTCATGAGGGCTCTCTTTCTGGCTTGTAGACAGCCACCTGCTAGCTATGGCCTCACATGGATTTTCCTTGGTGCATGACAGAGAAAGAGAAAGCTCTCAGGTGTCTCTTCTTATAAGGACTATATAATCCTATACATATAATCCTTATATGATCCTATCCATATAACCCTTATATAATCCTCTCTGAGCAGGACTCCACACTTATGACCTCATTTAAACTTAATGGCTTTCTTAGAGGCACCATTCCCAAATTCAGCCACACTGGGGAATAGAGCTTCAATATATAAATTTTGGGAGGACGCAAGTGTTCAGTCCATACTAGGTGGAAAATTGCACACAGATTTAAAGAGGCATACCTGGAAGGAGAGGTAGAAGGAAAGACTGGGCAAAGGAGAAGCTGACCTGTGACCTGTGACCTGTGAGGTTGCAAGTGAGGGATCTGCCCACCTAAGGGGAGCTGTGGAGCTGGGATAGTCCTTCGGACTAGTCCCAAGTGGTAGAAAAGGGCCGGTTGTTTGCATCCTCACAACAGCCGGTCACTAGTCACAAGCTTCCCCCTGAAAGGACATGCATCATTGCAGCTCACTCTGTCTGAGGACAATGTGCAGTGAGGGATACAGCTGCAACCTTTCAGCAATTGATACTCCCAACAGGTAGAGGAGGGGTAAATTGGCCCTGAAGAAGGATCGTGAGTGAAGTACCACAGTGTCCCTTACACCCTCAGACACACTGGCTGTTTGTAGGAAGTTTGCCCCGTGTAGAAATAGTTTTCCCAAGGTGGTGTTTGGTCTTATTTCCTGAAGAGTTGAAAAGTAAGTGAAAGAAATACAACCTGTGTTATTTCAGTTGGTTTGATACTCATCATCCTCTCCGCCAGTACTCATTCTAGATTCCCTTCACTTTTGAGTAGCTCCTATGATGGCCTAGGTGGTGGCTTGTGGGGTAGAGTGACGTAAGTCCTTACCCCTGTGGGACCTGAGTCCCAGTGGTTACCGTGTCCTTCTCAGATGATGGTTACTGTACTTATCCATTTAATGGTAAAGTTGGACAACAGAGCATAAGAGATGCTTTAATAGATCACCTAAGCTCAAAACACATTCCATCCTGCCCCCATTATGCAGCAACAGCCCTACTTCCTCCTGCTAATCTGAGTCAACTGCTCCTATCAGTGGTCACTCCTTTCCTCCCCTGTCAGCCCTTTGTCATGAGAAGACCACAGTAACCAGATGGAAGACATAGCTTAAAATTTAGTGGGACTTGACTGTGCTCTCTGGTGAAAGCATTGCCTATTTGAAAACTAGTATTTTTAAACCCACAGAGCCTAAAACTGCAGTGACAGAAGTCACAAATGCCCTAGAGAAAAACTAGGGGTGATGGTAAGTGACTCCGCTTCTAATTCCATCCTTTGATCCCCAGACCCATGTACTCTAGCTTACAAAGGATATAGGACAAATAAAATAGCCATTGATTTTCAGTGTATACCATGTCCTGAAGGGTAGCACTCCATCCTCACAAGGTATGATTTCCAACTTGGCACCTCAGTTGCATGTTTAACACACCATTCTACCGCTATATCAGCCTGACGGTTTCTGGTCTGTGAGAAGCATGTTTTAGTCCATTTAGGCTGCCATAATAGAATATCATCAGCTGGGTGGCTTATAAATAACAGAAATTTATTTCTCACAGGTTTGGAAATGGAAAGTCCAAGATCAAAGTGCCAGCAAATTCAGTGCCTGATGAGAGCCCACTTCCTGGCTCATGGATGGCCATCTTCTCTCTCTGTCCTCACATAGTTGAAGGGATGAGGGAGCTCTCTGGAGTCTCACTTATAAAAGCACTAATGCCATTCATAAAGGCTCCACCCTCATGACCTAATCACCTCCCAAAGGCCTCATCTCCCAGTTCCATCCCTTTGGGGATTAGAGTTCAGCATATGAATTTTGGGAGGACATAAACATTCAGTCTATAGCATGTGGCATAAACCAAATGGACCTCCTGATTGTGCAGCCACTATGGTAACTGAACCTCCTTTGTTATAATTTGCTTCACTTGGTCTAAGGAGAGGTTTTGTAGTATCCTGTGTTTGCAGATCAATCTCTAGAAATCTTTAGTGATGCTGGCCAAGGCCCTGCTATAAGAAAAGGTAAGCCATCCCCAAAGTATGTGTCAGTCCCATTAAGGATGAATCACTGCGTCTTCAAGAGTAAGAGAGGTCCAATACAGTCAAATTTCTAGTAAGTTGGCATTCTTTGGGGGAGCAGCCAATATGAAGGAATAAATATAGGTCCATGGTACTTGCAAGTTGGACTTTTTTTTTTTAAGATTTTATTTTTTTCCTTTTTCTCCCCAAAGCCCCCTAATACATAGTTGTATATTCTTCGTTGTGGGTCCTTCTAGTTGTGGCATGTGGGACGCTGCTTCAGCGTGGTTTGATGAGCAGTGCCATGTCCGCACCCAGGATTCAAACCAATGAAACACTGGGCCACCTGCAGCGGAGCGCACGAACTTAACCATTTGACCACGGGGCCAGCCCCCACAAGTTGGACTTTTGGCAGCAGTCAGAGAAAAATATCATCCCTGTTGAGTGAAAACCCATGTTACTGGGTTTTAGATACCATTCCTGCCACAATGGCTACTTCATTTATGTGTCCATTATGCTGGCACAATTGATATATGCTGGTTGACATGTCATTGATTTTCAGTGTGTACCACTGCCCCAAATGAACAAGAAGTGACTAGTACATTAGGGGTCTCGGTTGTTTAACACCTCTGATGGACATTAACCCGTGATACAGAGATCTTCACATTCTGTGCCCACTCCCATAGGTTCATTCACATGCCTCTTCCCCTGTCCATCTTGTCCTTGAGCTTCTAATCTTTCTTTTTCCAGGCTTCAGACCAACCAGCCAGGACATTAGCAGAGCTTTTAACTCCTCTTTCTGATAGAATGGAAAAGAATGCATCTCCAAGAGAACTATGTACTGTAAATTACATGAACCCCTTGAACTCCTTGCTCTCATCTTTGCTGTCCATATACTCTGCACCTACTTCTTCTTTTTTTTTTCCCCCAAAGATTGGCACCTGGGCTAAAAACTGTTGCCAATCTTTTTTTTTTTTTTTCCTGCTTTATCTCCCCAAACTCCCCCTGTACACGGTTGTATATCTTAGTTGCATGTCCTTCTAGTTGTGGGATGTGGGACGCTGCCTCAACGTGGCCTGACGAGCAGTGCCATGTCCGCGCCCAGGATCCGAACCCTGAGCCACCGCAGCGGAGCGCGCGAACTTAACCACTCGGCCACGGAGCCGGCCCCATGCGCCTACTTCTTTATAATCCTTCTCCAGGGTGGCTAGGTCCTTTTGAGCTTGAGAGAACACTCTTTCTACCATGCCCTCACCCACATACAAGTGCACAAATGCCAGCTTGGCATACATCAGATCAAATTTGTGGTATAGACAGACCCAAGCCTCAGCAACGACTGTGGTATTACTTAGCAAGTAGACCACCAACTGTACTTTGCCCCTAGGCACCACTGTGGGGGGCCGGTAGTTGATGTCAACCTTGAAAGCTGTGGTACACCAGTCCACAAACTGGATGGTGTGCTTTGTCTTGATAGTGGCAATGGCAGCATTCACATCCTTGGATACCACTTCTCCACAGTAGAGCATGCAGCATTCCACATATTGGCCATGATAAGGGTCACACTTGACCATCTGGTTGGAGGATTCAAAGCAGGCATATCTTCACTGTAGTAAAGATACCATTTCTGGCACAGCTGCTGCAATTAGAGCTACCACGTGGTCAAATTTATGGTTGTTCATTGTAAGCTGCCATTATCCATCCAGTCTTAATAGAGGCCAGACTAGTGAATTTAAATGAGGATATGACAGTGAACATTAGTACTGAATTCTTCAAATCTTTGGACATAATGTTGATCTCTCCCAGTCCCCCAGGATGTAATACTGTTTTTGATTTGTTATTTTAATTGGAAAGTGGGCCATTTTCAATGAATTGTAATAGCACTTTCACTCCACCTCCATCTGCAGCTTTGGGTCAAGAAAACAAGAAGGTTCTGCCAGCTACCGACTATATACATTCCAATTATAAACTCAAGGACCATGAAAATGAAAACCAAGAGAGTCTGTAAACCTAATAGAATCACTGAGAGTTGGACCTGGGCCAGAAATCCATTTATTAGCTGACTTCTGCATGCCCTTACTCAAACAGGGGAGATAAGGTAGTACTTGAGTATTTAGGTATCAATGTCAGTTCAGACTCTGTTCTCACAACCTTGGAAATGTGTGGATATTTCCCTTCTGCCAATGCTTGATTACCTCTGTAAATGGCTAGAGATCCCCCTGAGGAAGAATAGGGGAATTACCTACTGAATATGCTTGGCATAGAGCTGCAGGCTCCTTCTTGTTAGAGACGTGAGCTCTCCTTCAGCAGAGGGATTCAAGGTCTGACAACTCTCTCAGGTCCAGAATCTGTCAATTGCATTCAGACTCCTAATCATCCATCCCTGATATCCTTTGATCGTATCCATTAACCAACACTCTTGTTAGTTGTCCATTTACTTTGCCCCTAAACTCAGTGTTCTCTAACCACCTCCATAGTTCTCTGTGCACTGGGACTCCCTGGCTACCATTTTGATCTTTTTACTCATTGCAGTAACTGTGCCATCTCCCTCCTTGCTTCTGACAGTTAAGCACCTCACTTGATCTGTGTTATTTCAGAATCGTATCATCACCACTGTTTTCAGGGACTCCAGTTCTGTAATAGCATCTGCTATTCTCAGTCCTAGTGTACAAAGGAGAGGCACCACAGAGCTTCTCACCACAGCCCCTCTCACCAGCACATTCTTTACCTCTTTAGTAAACAGAATGTCTTCTGTAGAACTTAGTAGGCAGTGGGTTTTCCAACCGTATAGGGTATATCTAACCCAGCATACTCAGCTTTCTGAGCCTTTTGATCCCTTTTTTCCTTTATCTGTCCGTATAGTTCTGTCATGTCCACTTTTCATTTAATGTGAGGTATCATTTTTTTAAACTAATAAGAGCCATCTCTCAGAGTCCTTGCCAGGATGCTAAACCCTGCATCACAGAAGAGTGCCCCATATCTATAGGCTGCCCCTTGATCCAGCATCACTGGGATCCTCTCCCATGCATACTTTCCCGTCTCCTGTGGTATACAATAGCAGACCCTACAGCTCCATTAGTGTATAGTTCCTCTCTTCCCTTAGCAAGACGAGCACATCTCATTAAGTTATTCTGGAATTTCACGTATATTTTGGTCTATTGTCAGGATGGGAGATGAGAGTAGATTCTGATTGGGGATAATCATTATCCTGTAAGATATCTACCTCATTTGAGACCTCTGAATGATCTTCAATAAAATGCAGGGGTAGGAGGATGGGTTAGAGGTACCTATTTTCTAACAAGGGGTAGTTGTCTAGCTCTGCAGGACCAGCAAATTAAGGGGAATCTGAGAGTTCAAGCCACTCAACCTTGAACTTCCTAAATATGCTCATCCTAATTCTCAGGGTCCCACTCCTTCCTTTGACCTTTTGAAGGGCTTTGACCTTGGTGAAGAGTCTTGCCAGGGCTCGGAATTAAACCTTCTCTTAATTCCCACTGCTCTGATGATTAGGTTTTGATTAGTGTCCTCCAACTTTTTGTCCTCTGATTGGAGATTAGGTGCTCCAGTTTTAAATGTTGCCTAAAATAGGTTATTAATCACCCTGAGCCTATAATCATCTCTGTTTAATGTATCAATGGCGCTTAGTAATCCAATTCCATAGTCCTTATAGTTTTCATTTTTCCCTTTCAAGGGTCAAAAATAATGCATCAGTCATTGCCTCTCCTCCACCAGTATCCCATTCCAGTTCACCACAGGTGTATATTTTAACAATGGTACCACTAGAGCATGCCAGGAGCGATCCACTCACCACCAACCACCAGTGCTAGGGTCCTCATGGCCAGATAGCTGGCAAGTGATCCGTCTCAAGAATTCCAAGTCAGATTTGGCTTTCTAGGGCCACTACTAATCACAGCCTTCATTTGGGCAACTTAGAAACAGACTTTGAGGCAGAGAATTGTGTGCAGAAGTGTATTTGAAAGTGGTCTCAGGAGGGACAGCTGCAAGGAAGTAAAGCAGCAGGACTGGGCAGAGGGCAAAGCTGACCTACACTGCAGACGCAACCGAGGCTTCCGACCATCCCGAGGGGAGCTCTGGAGCTGGGCAGACCCTTCAGAGCTGTCTCAAAAAGAGGCAAACGGGCATGGATTTGGTATTTCCACAGCTACCATTGGTCCCTGGAGGACAAAGTTGCCGTAAGCAGGAGCAATACAGTTCCCTGAGGCTGAGGGCAATTTCCAGTGAAAGGCACAGCTGTGAGCAAACAGCAGCCGTGATTCTCAGAAGCTACAGAATGGATGCATGCATCCTGAAGAGAGAATCTGGGCAGAATATCACAATACCCGCTATTTATCTACCTCTCATCCTTCAGATTTCAGTTCACTCATCCATCCCTCTGGGAAGTTTTCCCTGACCTTCATCTATCCTTTCTCCCTGCCATGTACCATACTCTGTCAAACTAGGTCAGATCTCCTTATTGTAGATTTTCTTAGCATCGTTTCACAGAGTTTATCATACACTTAATTATATGCTTATTGGTGTGATTATTTGATTAAAATCTGTCTTCGTTAAATTGTAAGCTCCTAAAGGGCTTATATAGGGACTGTGACATTGTTGCCATTATTGAACCTCCAGTGCCTAGATGAGGACCTGTTACACATTAGGGCTCATTCAATATTTATTTGAATGAATAACATGTTGATGGATTACTGTCATGGATGTTGTACACTGTTACAACGGCACGATTACATGGTAAACTCACCCAGGCAGCTATTTCAAAGAATGGCTTTCCACAAGGAAGCACAACAACTTTTCTGTCAGAGAAAATTGTGTTCTTGAACAAAAGTCACAGCTCTGGAGAGCTGCCCAAGAGGCTGCCAGAGACGGTGAAACAACCAGCCACTAGTCAGATTGTCCTGATAACTTCTGAAATCAATGATGCAATAGATGTGACCATGCTCATCCTCATAGTTTTTTTAAAAAAGGAGGTACAAAAGTTCTATAAATGAAAAAAGATGTGCTTACAAAACTATGTCTGTTTCGCCTTGCCTGACTTGAATTCACATTTTAGTTCCATGTTTGTTGATTATGACTTTGGTGAAATAATATGCAAATTCTTACCTTGTTGGCAGAGCAACAAAAGTTTTGGGGGTGTGTTTATTGTATATATCAACAGTCATTGTGTGGCTCACTGTTAGTTTTCTTCTAACACGTTGTCTCTAGTATTGATTCTCATAGGGAATTTTTCTTTTGAGTTCTCTGAAGTGACTTTTAATTTTTTTTGTACAAATAAAGGTCTTGTAGAAATTCCAATTAATTCTTTTTCTCTAATTTTATTTGTAATGAGATGCACTTCCTGCAGGAAAAAAATTGAGAAGCCATGAAGAAGGTTAACGCACTTTAAAAGCTCCTGGTTAAACACCAAAGGAGGACTTCCGCCATAGGACTTCAGTAAACCCTGCGCCTAAAATGGCTATTTGGAATTTACCCAATACCTTTATGTCAGTCAGCCTACTTTCTGGGATTCATGTACTAAAACTTTTAAGGTTCGTATTTAAACCATTTAAATTCATACTGAAACAAACTCGGCAGGCTGTACTATGTGTACAAGATTTAATGGTAAGTGGTATTTCTGTTGAAGTCCAACTGCACAGTGAATGAGGGACTTCAGCTACAGTCAAATCCAGAGCTGCAGATGAGTGAGTTCTAGATCGTACTCACCCGGCAGTTTAGGATCATATTTCATGAGATACCAACAAGGAGGCTTTGTTATAAATTCTGCTTTATTCTGTAAGAACATTTTAGAGGAGTGGCTCTTAACTGAGAGAGATTTCATCTCAATCTGCCTCACAAGGATCATACTTCCATTTTAATCCTCCTATGCAAGAAACATAGCTTGGCATCTGTTATATGAAGCACGGTTTTCCAGAGATTATTGCTTCTAATAATGGCCCTGTGTTTATCTCAGATAAAGGAAAGGGATTTGTGAATAGATCATCGATCTGAGGAGTCAATATGATGCTTAGTCACCCTGAATTAAATGGTTATGTTTAAAGATTACTCAAGAATATTCAGGATGCCCTGAAGCAAATTGCTAAAGGAAATTGGTTAACTGGACCTGCCAAGTGTTCTGCTATGTAACGTGTCATCTCATGTCCCAAACTATAAGTCTGGGTGAATTATCAAGTGGCCACATCTCAGTATGTACTTGAGGGTCTGATAAACAATGGACTATGTTCCATATTCTGTCCTGTCAGTCATATCACCTTTATAACACAAGATTTAGTATTAACTGGGAATTCTGAAACTTAATGCATTTTATTTTTATTTAACAAATGTATGTATAGCACATGCTGTATCAGTCACTGTTCTAAATGCCTTACAAGCATTAACGTATTTAGTAGATGGATTTGGGACACTATAATGGAAAACACAAGTTCTATGTCATAGGACATCCAGAGTAAAGGTGGAGTCATTGCCCATTTCCATGTTAATCAGTTGTCAAGTTATTTTCCTAAGAAACTCTCAACAACAGGACCACTGAAAGTCTGTTCAGTGGAGCCCCTTGGAGTGGCTTGTTTTGTGACATTTTCTTCTGAGTACAGCAAATTCACCAGATGAAGGACACAGTAAGCTTTCTCCGGTTTCTCAACTACTAAGGTTAAGATATATTGTGGTTGTATAACTGTCAATATGACACAAATTTAGATGCACAAATCTGTACCCACTTGCAGGCTAAATTATGACGGTACCTGAATATGTGTGCTGGAAATTATGATAGTAGTGTTTTGATAGTTTTGAATTATTGTTCCATGTGTCAATAATTTAGAGGGAAATAAGACCAGTTCTGCATACTTCCAGTTCCCAAAATAAGAATCGTCTTTTCTAAATTTTTTCATTCTTTTGATTTTCCCTGCTACTCAGCAGAATACAACAATTTTGATCCTCCCCTTTTAAATTGATGCTGTTATTGTTAAAGCCATGAACACTATTATTCCCATGCAAATAATCATATCTCAGATATTACAGCACCTCGTCGGGTTTTGATTATAGCATTGACCTCATAAGTGGTGGAATAGTCATACATTCCTATCTCATCAACCTCTCTTGAGGCATGAGTTAGCATATTAAAAAGTTTTTGTTTCCATCATTGCTCTCACCAAAGTTTCTCCTCTGTCAGCAATTGATGTATAGCAGTAGCCACGGCCATAGCATGTGGGAAGGCAAAACCTCTGAAATGTTTACTGCATTTCCAAAATTGCTTGTGGCCTAGATTGCCTTTTCAAAAATATTTTGTGCAGAGCATATAATTTCCTTTCGTTTCATGAGGTTAATGGATTGCTTGGTCTGTAAACTGTTTTGCTTATTTAATACAAACACCCACTTCAACTGAACCTCCCCGACTTTGACGGATGACACACCAGGAGGACGAACAAACTTCACTGCAGCTTAAATGAGTGTGTGCATTCATTTATCCCCAGTTATTTTCACCGTACAGTGCTCTGCTTGCTTATTCTGAAATGAAAACAGATGGCATGCTTTCTTCTGCTTCAAGCTGTCCTGGCAGTTCTTTGTGGAATGCGTGAAAGTTGTCTGCAAGTACATTTTTCTTTATAAAGAAAAAAATGGGGTGACAGTGTCCAGTGACATTTAAATCATAGCGAGAACTTAACTCACCACGTAAGGCTGATAGAGTGAGCACAGGCAGTGTGGAAGATTTTCAGCCAATTATCCTGTCTGATTTCTGGCTTGAACTTCATTTTATTTTCACACCAATTCCACTCAATGAGTTGTTTTATAAGAGCTAATACCAGGCGGTGAATAAAATTAAAGCACTTATTCTTGAGCTTAAAGTAAATAACACAGCACTCCGA